TTTCCCAACATATAGAGCTTTTTTTTTGGTGGTATTTGATCGCTTCTGAATTTTTATTTTTTGCGCTATAAACAAAAGACTGACAATTTTGAAAAAAAATTTTTTACATTAAACTTGTCCAGTAAAAAAATGTTAAAAATAAAAGTTCATCATAAATGTACGCAAAAATTTATTCTGCTACATGTCTTTGCTACAAAAAAATAAATAAATCTCAATACGTGTAAATTAATTGGTTTTCTTTAAAGTTATAGCATTTACAAATAGCGGTATATATACTGGAATTTTTTTTTCTAGTAATGGCGACAATCCGCAACTTATAACGGGACTGCTGCGGGCATTCTAACACAGGGGAAACTGACTTGATGTCACTGACGTCCCCAGTGACGCCAATACAGTGATCAGTGCTAATAAGCACTGACACTGTACTAATGGCACTGGGCAGGAAGGGGTTAACACCTGGGGCGATCAAAGGGTTGCCTGTGTGCTGTGTATGTGCTTTTCAGTGCAAAACACACTGCTTTGTATGGCTCTGCATAGTGTGTGTTCTGCAAAGCAGTGTGCAGGAGCTGACGAGAGAAATATGTGTTTATACACAGGTCTCTCCCCTGTCGGTGATACTCGGCAATCGCTGGGTACCGGCAGGGAATCACCGGCTGGAACCCAGTGATTGACAGCAGAGGCAACGAATGGCGGCGTGGGTAGGGCACACATGCCCCCCAGCTGGGACTGCAAAATCACGTTTATATACGTGATTTTGCGCAAGCGGTTAAAGAAACATGAGTGAGCAGGCAAAACACATGTTTTTTATTTCTGTGATTCATATTCATCTGTAGGTCATAACAGAATGGCCCAATCCTAAAACAAAACAAGGTAACAAGTAAACAAATGAAATGACCACTGTCAAACGTTTACATATCCTCAGTTCTTAATACTGTATATTGCCTCCTTTAGCATCAATGAGAGCGTGCAGTCTTTTGCAATAGTTGTCTATCAGGCCCTCAATTCTTGCATGTGGTATAGCTGCCCATTTGTCTAGGCAAAATGCCTTCAGGTCTTTGGTCATTTGCATGAACCGCACGTTTGAGATCTCCCCAGAGTGGTTTGATGATATTAGGGTCAGGAAAATTTGAGGGCAACTCCAAAACCTTCAACTTTTTCTGCTTTAATGACTGGAGGGTCCACTTGGCCTTGTGCTTGGGGTCATTTTTGAGCTGGAAAGTCCCATGCGCATCTTTAATGCAGAATAATGCAATTACCTGCCAATATCTTCTGATAACATGCTGCATTCATCTTGCCATTCATTTTCAGAAGATTCACTGTGCCTTTAGAGCTCACTCCTCCACCCCAAACATCGGTGAGCAACCATCATGCTTTACAGTGGGGAAGATATTCTTGTCGCTATTAACCTTGCTGACCACTCTCCAAACATATTCCTTATGGTTGTGAAAATAAAGCTCTAGTTTGGTCTCTTCACTCCAGATTACAGTGTGCCAGGAGCTTTGAGGCGTGTCAAGGTGTTGTCGAGCATATTGTAACTGGGTTTTTTGTGGCATTGACACAGTAAAGGCTTCTTTCTAGTAACTCGATCATGCAGCTCATTTTTGTTCAAGTGTTGTCATATTGTGCTCTTTGAAACAACCACAGTTTGTTTTTCCAGAGCAGCCTGCATTTCTCCTGAGGTTACTTGTGGGTTTTTCTTTGTATCCTGAAAAATTCCTATGCCATTTGTGGCCAATATTTCATGGTTTACCTGACCTTGGCTTGGTATCAAATGTTCCCTAAATTTTCCACTTCTTAATAAGTGATTGAACAGTACTGATTGACATATTCAAGGCTTTGAATAGCTTTGTATATCCTTTTCCATCTTTATAAAGTTCCATGACCTTGTTACGCAGCTCTTTTGACAGTTCTTTTCTGCTCCCTGTGGCTCAGTATCTAGCCTGCCTAGTGTATCCACTTGAGAGCTAATAAACTCATTGACTATATATACACTAATTGCAATTTAAAAAACCAAGGATGTGGGAAACCTTTAATTGCCATTTTAACCTCTGTGTGTCACCTTGTGTGTCTGTACCAAGGTCAAACATTCCAGTGTATGTAAACTTTTGATCAGGGACATTTGCTGTGATTTCTGTTATTGTTATGTTTTTAAAAGGAGCCAAACAAGTATATGATAATAAATGGCTTTATATGATCATTATCCTTAACCACTTGCTCGCCAGAGAATTTACCCCCCTTCCTGACCAGGCCATTTTTTGTGTTACGGCACTGCGTTACTTTAACTGACAATTGCAGGGTCATGCAACGCTGCACCCAAATTAAATTTATGTCCTTTATTTCCCACAAATGGAGCTTTCTTTCAGTGGTATTTGATCGCCTGTGCAGTTTTAATTTTTTGCGCTATAAGAAAAAAGGCTGACAATTGAGAAAAAAAACAATATTTTTGACTTTTTGCTATTAAACATGTCTAGTAAAAAAATGTTAAAAAATCAAATTTTGTCATACATTTAGGCCAAAATTTATTCTGCTACATAATTTTGCTAAAAAAAAAATCCCAATACATGTAAATTAATTGGTGTACATAAAAGATATAGATAGCGTTTACAAATGGAAGTATATATATGGGATTTTTTTTTTTTTTTTACTAGTAATGATGGCAATCGGCGGCTTATAGCGGGACTGCGGTGGGCATTCTGACACTGGGAGAACTGACTTGGTGTCACTGACATCCCCAGTGACACCAATAGAGTGATCAGTGCTAATAAAAAGCACTGACACTCTAATGGCACTGGGCAGGAAGGGGTTAACGTGGGGCAATCAATGGGTTAACTGTGTGCTGGTTTTGCAGTGTGCTGTGTTTGTGCTTCACTTTAAGCACACTGCTTTGCATGGCTCTGCTATGCAAAGCCATGCATAGCAGTGTGCAGGAGCTGACGTGCATTACCGACGGGGGAGCTCCCTCCGTCGGTAATGCTTCGTGATCACAGGGTGCTGGCAAGCAATCACAGACTGGGACCCGTTGATTGACAGCCGAGGCCACGAATAGCAGCGCGGGTAGGGCTTGTGCACGCCCCCTACCCGAAAATGCAAAGTCACATATATATACATGATTTTGCGCATCCCTGCCGCCCTGTAGCCGTATATTTGCTATAGGGCGAGAGGAAAGTGGTTAAGTAAAAGACAGATTTTTTTTTTTTAGCATGATTAGTCATATTTTCAATATCAATAGCAAAATTTTCTAATTTCTGCCAGAGTATGCGAACTTTTGAGCACAACTGTAGTATTCAGGAAGAAAAGTCTGTTTCAACTTAGCATGGATGCTTTTAACAAAGTTGCTCTTCCATATTAAACATGCTATTTTTTTTAAATTACTTAAACATTGCTCTAAGCTCTAATAAGCAGATTCCTCTTGTAGTGAATTATTATATTATCATACAGGATTTATATAGCACCAACAGTTTGTTCAGCGCTTTACAATATAATGGGAGACAATACAGCAACAATACAGTTCAATACAAGAGGGTGGTTAAGAGGGCCCTGCTCCTTGGAGCTTACAATCTAAGAGGGAGGGGCTAGTGGTACAAAAGGTAATAACTGTGGGGGATGGACTGGTAGGAGGAAGAGAAGAGTCCATTATTAGCTGAAGGCAGGATAGGCTTCCCTGAAGAGAGAGGTTTTCAGAGATTGCCTAAAAGTAAGCAGAGTAGGCGATAGTCTGATAAATTGGGTTAGAGAGTTCCTGAGGATGGGGGAGGCTCTGGAGAAGTCCTGGAGACGAGCATGGGAGGAGGAGATAAGGGAGTGAGAGAGTAGGAGGTCTTGCGAGGAGCGGAGAGTACAGTTTGGGTGATATTTGGAGACAAGATTGGTGATGTAATTTGGGGCAGAGTTATAAATGGCTTTATATGTTATTGTTAATGTTGTTAAATGTTTTGAATTTTATTCTTTGGGCAATGGGAAGCCAGTGGAGGGCTTGGCAGAGAGGGATGGCAGATATGGAACAGTAAGTAAAGTGGATGAGTCTGGTAGCAGCATTCATGATAGACTGAAGAGAGGATAGCCTACAATGAGGTAGGCCAATGAGGAGGGAGTTACAATAGTCAAGGCAAGAGATGTTGCAGAGGTGAAGTCTACAAGATTTGGACAGCGATTGGATTTGGGGCTGAAAGGACAGATGGGAGTCTAGGATTACACCTAGTACCCTGACGTGAGGGGAGGGACTGATTGTTGTATTGTTGATCTTGATGGAGAAGTCAGGGGAGGGGGCACAGGCTGGAGGGAATAGTATGAGCTCAGTTTTGGAAAGATTGAGTTTGAGTAAGTGGAGTGACATCCATGCCGATATGTCACTTAGTAGGCTAGTAATGTGAGAGGAGACTGAAGGGGTGAGGTGAGGAGTAGAAGATAGATTTGTGTGGCATCAGCATAGAGATGGTACTTAAAGCCGTGGGAGTTTATCAAGTGACCAAGGGAGGAGGTGTAGATGGAGAAGAGAAGGGGTCCAAGGACAGAACCTTAAGGGACCCCTACAGAAAGAGGGAGTGGAAAGGAGGAGACAGAGTTCTTGGTAACACTGAAGGAGTGCTGCGATAGGTAGGAGGAGAAACAGGAGAGAGCAGAGTCTCGGAGGCCAAGAGAGTGGAGTTTTTTGAGGAGGAGCAGATGGTCAACAGTATCAAAAGCCGCAGAGAGGTCAAGTAGTAAGAGTACGGAGTAGTGGCCATTGGTTTTAGCAGTTAGTAGATCATTAGTGAGTTTTAGTAGGGAAGTTTCAGTGGAGTGTAGTGAGCGAAAGCCAGACTGTAAAGGGTCAAGAAGGTTGTTGTCATTGAGGTAGGAGCTCAGGCGATTGTAGACTAGGCGTCTACAATTGTATTGTAACTGTACTGTCTGCCTCCATTTTGTAAAGCTCTGCAAAAATTGCTGGTACTATATAAATCCTGTATATAAACAATAATAAAAATACGGTTATAACTTCTGGCTATATTGTTTTTTCACAGGCGCTTGTTATTTCCTGCTGTGGTCACCCTACTCATATCTACTTTGACGTTCCCTCCTGGATTTGGACAATTTATGGCTGGCCAGGTAAGATTGCGGTTGGTAGAATTTACCTGAGGCTAGAGATTCATAAGAAAATATGCAATATATAAAAGAAAAAGTATGATTGGCTCTTTATTTTTCTACAGCTGACACAGAAAGAAACCCTAGTAACACTGTTTGATAATTGCACATGGGCTCAGCAAGGTGTCTCAGAAGACTTTATGTTCAAAGGAGCCTCCAGTGCCTGGAAAAACCCTAAAACAAACGTGTTTGTTAGTCTAGTGGTCTTCATCCTAATGAAGGTAAGATGAACCTGAGCCATTTTATATGAATCTGCGCTGTAAATACATTTGCAAATAAAATACTGTTAATGTCTTTATTCGCCTCTGCAAATCCTCTGCCTCTTTTCATATTTAGTATTTGTTTTTCTTCACATTATTTACTTTGTAGTAAGTGTGTACTGTATGTACAGTAGTTTCTTTGAAAAACAGAGATTGACAGTTGAATCAGGAATACGCTAGTTGGCAAACAGTCTCTTATACCATGATGGCCATGTTGGCTCATATCCTAGCAGGCTACATTCACACGGACATTTGTATCTGACAGCGACTAAATTACAGTAATCTGCACTCAGGCTAGGTTCACACATATGCAGTTTGCATTTGATCCGTTTCTGCAGTGCTTTTTTGCCACGTTTTTGATGAGTTTTGCAGGGGTTTTTTTCTTGTTGCTAGGCATATTAAAACGCAAAATGTGTAAAAAATGCAGCAAAAATGTACTACATGCTTTTCTGCAGCATCTCCATTGAAGAACCAAACCATAGAACCAAAAATGCAACTTTTTGCATTTTAAAAAAAAGTCCCTGACCCTTTCCAAAAAACGTACCGGGTGATGTGAACATGTCCCTAGGAAATCGAGTTAAATGGACTGTAGTGCGTTTCTGTAAACCGCTGCGGAAACTGCTTAGGTGTGAACCTAGACTTAAAACAGTTTTTCCTGCAGATAGTTGCTATTTGTAAATGAGTTTAGATTCAGATAGCTGCGTTTTTTAGGTGCATCAGCATTTTCAGGCACCCGGGACTGATGGTTCCTGGTCACCTGATTCCTGTGATAGCCTCTGATTGGCTGGCTATCACAGTGATCAGTGACTGTGCAGCCTACCCCTGAGTTTTCTTTCTCTTCTGAAAGAGGAGTGAAACATGTAAAGAAACAAGTGTGTAAAAAATAATTAAAAACAAAATAAAAAAAACTAGCTAGATCAATGTCTGATCTAGGTTAGTACTAGGATTGGTGTTAGGGTCAAGGTTATGGGAAAAGGCCAGGGTCAAAGGTCAGAGTCAATATAATTTAGGTAGGATTTAAAAAACACTTTATTAAAAATGATCAGTGTCCGTTAATGTCAGTGTGTTTTAGGGTAAAAAAAGCAAAAATGAGCATTATTGTTTATTGGCCCTACTACGAGTACAAACAACTAACATATACACATATGTGATATTGCTGCGATCGTTATTAGTAGAAAAATTTATTTTGGGTTATTCTTTGATGGTACGTTATGGTAATAGCAAGGATTATACAGCTAAATTAAAAAAAATATTCTGGTAACTATTTTGACCTAGTTTTCCTTTCATAATAAAAATAAATCAGGAAATCGTGATTTCATTTGTGTTCAGGCGTTAACATTTATTTTACCTTCTGTCACTAAGGGATTAAAATGCACTGCATTACAGTACCATGAAATTTGGTGCCAGCAAACACACTGCATTGTGATCTGCATTTAGGGTGCCGCTTAATTGGCACCTGCATGCAGATCACAAGAGCAGTGCAGTCACCTGCAGTGTGGGAATCATGCATACCGTGTTCTAGTGTAAACCGGTCATGAGGCAGAGAGAGGGAGACGAGTGAAGCAAAGATGGTATATCCCCCAACATCCCAGCATCTAAGGAAAACAAGGCCCATCCCGATACATTTTAGTTTTACCAGAACGTCAGTGTCCATTTTTGACAGTTTACGAATTATTGTTAGACCATGCCTGCAAAGAACTAATACCAACATGAGGATGTTTGAGAACCAACATGAGAAGGAATACCTACTAGCTGCAGATAGTTGACTTTCCTTCTTTACCCAGTGAGAAGCGCAGCAGGAATCTTCGATTCCTGACGCTACTATTTGCACCGACACTAGTCTCCGGTTTTAATATAGCCTTAAACGATTGTGTGAATGTAGCTCTAAATTATTTTTAAACAGTCACCTTGTAAAACAACGTGTTATGTATAAACATAATAAATACCCCCCTTTTTTTCCCCCCATAAGTAAACATATACCCTCTTTTCTCAGCTGCATAAGAGCTAGGGTCAGTACACTGATCTTCCCAGTGAATGGCTGTGCAGAGGGGGGCGTGTCAGCATAAGCCTAATCATTGGATTTGCTCCCAGCACAGTCAGAAAACTGACTACTCTGTGTTCTCATGGCAAGTGTGATCAGTTTTTAATAGGAAAGCAGGGGGACTGGCAGGAACACCAGGTACTGTATTTCACACAAAGGAAGCAATACAAAGAGAACAGGTTAATTTTTCATACAAGCACGTGGTACAGCAGGTGCACATCAGGAATATGGAATGTTGGGCTTAAATATTTTCTTACTGATAAAATGTAACTAAAAGGAAATCCTATTTGAGCAATCACTGTGTTTATACATCTGTGTTCACTTATGCTTGTGTTGGATTTTCCTGTGCAAGAGGCTACTTTGGACCAAGCTTTGTGACAGGCTATTTTTTTTTTTTAGTTTGGATAAAGTGTAGAAGGGTTTAGAATACCTGCCAGCTTTTTATTGCTGTCTGTTCCCCTGTTAGAGAGATTCAGCCTTTCTATTTGTCATGTTTACCTTTAACAATGAAAGTGAAATTCGTTAATAAAATCCTAACTTTTCGGTTGTTCCCAGAACAGTAAGATTTGGAAAATATTCCATTTGGGACACTAGTTTTGGTGACCCTGGCAACAGGGATTTCCTCACTTTGAAAAAATTGTTGCCCATTTCCTTTTTTGGTAATTGAACAGGAAGTGAAGACAAATATCCTCAATGGGACACAGATGGGAAAAAACTTGAAAGGGGTTATAACCCACCCTTACCCTTTCCAAAATGGAAAAAAATAGCTTTAGTTCTACTTTTAGTAACAAGGAAAAATCATTTGAATCCATTGGAAATTGAATACATTGAAAACGCAGGATAAATCTTTCCCATTAAAATGTAAATAATAATTTAACAAAATGTACAGTTATACCAAAAGCCATAATAATGCATTTTAGAAGTTGTCTGTGATGCTGAATTTTTTTGTTCACTGTCGGGTTTAGTAATAAAAAAAAAAATGTATATATTCTAATGTATTTGTAACATTTTTTAGTTTTGGATGTCTGCTCTGGCTACTACAATTCCAGTACCATGTGGAGCATTCATGCCAGTCTTTGTGATTGGTGAGTTTTATTCCCAAATTTTTTCTTTTAATTTGTAGTTTACACTCATAAAGGGAGTAACCAGGAGATATTTGTTTTAAAAATTCATAAATGTTGAATGCATTGTCAAATAAAATGTGCAACTGAAAAATTATATGATTTCCTTTTTAAAATATGGGAGATCACATTTAATATTAATTTGTTACAAGCTTGGGAAATGTAAAATGAGCATATGATGAAAAACTTAATAAGCAAAGGTTACCTTCAATATATATCACTTTTTTTTGTACTTTAGGAGGCACAGTAAATTACATTGATATGTTTGTCAGTAATGATGGCAAGGCATAATGGGGTTGATTTACTAAATCTAAATAGGGTGTTCAGTTAGCAAGCCTCAGAGCTTAGTGAATGTGGTGGTTTCTTCTTGTAAGTAATACACAACCATGCAAATCTTGCACATGATTGGATTATGGAAGTCAGCAGAGCTGAGCCTCATTCAATGAAGGAAATTCTCTTGCAAAATCTGACTTCCCTTACCAAGTGAACAGCCTATTTGCCTTTATTAACTCAACCCTAGTGAATCTATTCTAACACTAGTTGGATGAGAATCACTTTTACCATAGAATATATGTATATTATTTTTGAGGCTGTGTAGATTGCATACCAACTATCTAAGAACTTGAGATACTACAACCAGTGTGTCCCTGTAATCTGGTCAATCTAGGCTACGTAGTTCATAGCACATTTTTTTTAAATTTTTTTGTATAAATGTCTACAGAGTATTAAGTCAAGATGAACATATTTTGAGTTTGAAAAAAGGCGCTAGAATTAGTATGTTTTCAAATTAATCTCCTAATTGGTTAGTGAAGCCACCTATTATATTAACAAACTAACAGAGGGGCTGTTCCATTATTGTGCTGCACCTGCAGCTTCAGTGATAGCCAAGTTCAGTGTGAGAGTAAGTTTCCTCTCCTGCTCCAGACTTCCCTTTACTCTGAGCTCCCACTGTAAATCATCTGCCGAGTGGGGGTGTCTGTTCTAAGGGCTCGTTCACACTTGACTGTTTTACCAACGCTTGCCAAATGCCCCTATAGCATTTGGCAAGCGTTGGTCCGGCGTTTTTGGAGCGTTTTTTAACGCTCGGCAAACGCTCCGCAAATACCGCATGCGCAGTTTAGTGTTGGTTGCTAGGTGTTTACCGAGCGTTAAAAACACCCCACAAATGCCTATAATGAAGTTTGAATGGTGTTACCTCTCCGCAAATACCCCGCAACCGCACCACAAACGCCGGCCGGGCATTTGCGGAGCGGCACCATAGACTAGAATAGGAGGCTTCAACGCCTTCTGACTCGACCAGAGGCATCCGTTTTGCTGTGATGCTAACGCTCCCGTTAGAATGCAGAATTGTCCGAGGCGTTTGGGAAGCGGTAAAAAAACGCTTCCCAAACGCCTCTCTGCCGCCTGCACACAATGCTAGTGTGAACGTAGCCTTAGGGTTCTTTTGTACCTTGGGGGGCGTTTCTGTACTGGGGAGCAGAGGGTGTATGTACTGAGGGGTCTTCCATAGTGGTTGATGATGAAAAATGTGGGAATAATACACTGTTTATATCTTGGCTTCATGTTTGAGGAATGTGTATTAAAGGGAATCAACTGTTTTTCTGTGTAGTTTTTATTAATCCTGTTTAACTCTAAACAATACATTGTTTTTATTTCATTTTGATATACTTTTCTCATAAATATTTCATATTTACCACTTTACAGCCAAGAGCCTTTGTTTTTATCCTCCCATTAACAAGATTGTGAGTGAACCAGATTTTTTCTGACATGGTAAAACATCTAGTTGGCTGTTATCTGGTGTTCAAGCTTACCTCCTTAGGACTAAAGTCAGTGTAGACACATTGTGCAAACAAGCCTCAAGGTAATGGCTTTAGGGCAGGTGTACAGGGCCACCTAAGAGGTAATTTGAGTCCAGCCTGCATTGGGCTGTACTTGGTAGTTTTATAGAAGGCTGTGCAAAGGATCAAAGTAGGACATGGTGCACCAAGGGGTACAGCAGGTGACTGCTCACTCTTCCAACATAGTAGATGAACTACCTGAATACATGAACAATCTACATAAATACTTTTTAAAATATCATTATATAATCTATCTGCCTACTGCAGGTGCTGCATTTGGCAGGTTGGTTGGCGAGAGCATGGCTGCTTGGTTTCCAGATGGTATTCACAGTGATGGGAGTACATATCGAATTGTACCTGGTGGTTACGCAGTTGTTGGTAGGTCCCTCTTTTCTTCATCATTACTTGTTTGTTTATTTTGCTGCCATCTTCATAATCTTTTTTTTTTTTTTTTTTTATATTCACCAGGTGCTGCAGCACTGTCTGGAGCAGTCACACATACCGTGTCTACAGCAGTCATTGTCTTTGAGCTTACTGGGCAGATTTCTCACATCCTGCCAGTGATGATTGCAGTCATTCTAGCAAATGCTGTAGCACAGAGTTTGCAGCCATCGCTTTATGACAGCATTATCCGCATTAAAAAACTACCTTATCTTCCAGAACTGGGTTTTGGTCACCAAGAGTAAGTATCACCTTATATGATACATTATTATCGATCTGTTGTCTTTGCTTAGTGTAAGTTTTTATTTTGTCTGTCTTCCTGTGCTGTCTTCAGTTCAGTAGCATTTTTCATTCTCAATTTACAGTTTATAGCTTTTTTTTTATAGCTTTTTTTTTTTTTTTTTTTTTCTCATCTGTATCATCTATTAAGTATAATGGACATGGTATTCCAAAGTTACATATAGGGTTGTGGCTAATTAATTACCAATTAAAATGTCATATGGGTTTGCCATAGGTCAGCTTGTTGCTCGGGTACAGAAGAAATTATTTCTTAAGAGTATGTGTTTTAATTTATTGTGAAAAAAAAGTTTGTTTATTTGTATGTACCAGACCCTGAGTGTTGGTTCACATATATGCGGATTGGTTGTGGTTTGAACTGCATCCAGTCCACATGGCATGTGAAAAAAAAACATTGCTTCCTATGGTGCCTGTTCAAATCTGTCCGGTGCACTGGTGGAGCGGATTCAGTGCGGTTTGAAAAAGTCATGTACGATTTCTGAACAGTGCGGTCTGGTTCAGGTGAGGATTACAGGCTATTGACTTCTATGGGAACCGTTTCGAAACCACATATGTATGAACAGAATAATCCCCAGAGCTAATCCTGACCTGAACCTAATGTAAACCTGACATGAACCTGTAAACAACTACTGTATCAATTATCTGTGAAACCTGAGCATCAGTCTGCACCAAATGTGTGTGAATAAGCTCTAAGAGGAGCTTTCCTGCCTGTAGAGAACATTCTGCATTTGCTCTGAAGGATTGTAGTCAGAATCTGAATTGTAAAAAATACATTAGGATTGTGGACTGACAATACACATCCCTTTTATGGCTTTACATTTTCTTAATAGAAGTATAAGCCCCCCCAGCTGCAAAATAAACTCATAGCTAACCTGTACTTTTCCAGTGAAACCACCACACATTTATAAGCTCTCCAAATCTGTTTTTTTGACATTTCAAAATCTTATTCCTTTTATTGGGACTGTATAATAATTTAGATTTAAAAGTTGCATCTGTTGAGAAGGTAAATAAGGGAACAATATGTCCCTGTCTTACAAAAGTTCAAAAGTCACCTTGAATGTTCGTACATAATCCTGTAAACAATTAGGAGGACACCTCTTTAGCTCATGGCTGGCAGAACCCAGGTTACCAAACTTCCCACCTAAAAATGGTGCATGCATCTGTGAAAAACAGGATTTTAACGTAAAATCTAATTCTTTGAGTTAATTGAAGGACACCATTCCTGATTAGTCTTGACTGTGGGGTTATAGCGTTACCTTCAGGTGTAGGACACTAGACAGAAAAAAGAACACAGCACTGCCTATGGGCAGCCCTAACTGGTAGTTCAACCCCCCCCCCCCCCCCATTCTGTGATCAACTGCTCAGTCAGTCACAGCGTAGTACCAAAGAACATGAGAGAGGGTGGTTGCTGTGTTCTTCAATGAACTCAAAGGGTTTTTTACAGTAACAAAAAGTCCAGTTTTCGCTTATGTTCTTTGAAGGGCACAGCTTCTCATTAGACTTGAACATAGCAAAGTTCCAAAGCAGTGCTTCATTGAGTGGTGGGCAAGCAAGAGAAAAAACACTCAAGAACACCAGAGAAAACCCAGAGGCAGGAGCAAAAAACCCCAAACTGGCCCTTGCAACCAAAACACGCACAAGCACAAGAGGCATTACTCGCCATGACGGGAAAGGGAGGAACCTAACTCTTGAAGGCATGGGCCTAGATAACAGTTTGCCTGATCCAGCGTAAAAAGGTAGCAGAGGAAACCACCAAACCTTTTACGTGGATCGACGATCACAAAAAAGGGAGTCCAACCTTGGAAGGAGGCCGTAGCAGACAGATACACACAACCAGCCTGAGCCACATCCAAGGAGCGGAGTGCAGCTTCCTTAAGATGGGCAGGGTGCAGACACAGGATTGGAAGGACAATGTCCTTGTTCAGATGAAAATCGGATACCACCTTCAGCTGGAAGGAAGGACATGGGTGGAGAACCACCTTATCACTATGAAAGACCAAATAAAAAAAATTACAAGACAAGGCTGCCAGCTTCAAAATACAATGAGCAGAGGTGATCACAACTGAAAAAGGTGACAATTTGGTAAACCAATCACCAAGGGAAGGACCCCTAATATTCTCAAAGGTAGGCTTCTTAAAAGCTGAAAGAACTACTGTAAGTTCAGTTCCCATTTAAGTTTAGGTTCCATAGCATCAATGGAGATTGCACTGGGGGAGCCACATCCGTAATCCCTTGAATGAAATTACAAATCAAGAAGTGTTTGACCAGAAGTCATTGAAAGAAGACCACCAGGGCAGAATCATAACCCTTAACTTCCCAATAAAGAGAGGCCAAAATCCAAGACACTGAGAGAATGCATGGATGAAAACGCTCAGCCTCACACCATGTAATATAGACCCTTCAAGTTCGATGGTAAATGTTCCTGGAAGTGGATTTATGTCTTCAACATGGTGGGAATAATTGAGGCTGATATCCCTGTCTCCGAGGACCTTGCTTTCGAGAGCCAGGCTGTCAAAGCCAGTGACAGCAAAGCAGGATGGAAGATCGGCCCTTGGGACAGAAGATCCTCTGGCAGAGGAAGACGTCAAGGGGCGTCTGTGACCAGACGCACCACGTCTGCATACCAGGATCGATGAGGCCAATCTGGAGCCATCAAAATTACCAGAATCCCCTTGGTTTCTATCCTGTGCAACAGATGAGGGAGAAGCTTGAAAGGCAGAAAGGCATAAATGAACTGGTAATGGCTCCATGGCAGACCATCCATCACATTCTCCATGGGATCCCTCATTTTTGCCACAAATCTCAAAGCCTTCCTGGTGAAACAGGACACCAGAAGATCCACATGCAGGGAGCTCTATCGTAAACATAACTGGTGGAAAGAGCTTGGATGCAAAGCTTTTCATTCTGCCCTGGTGTTTAAAATAGGTACACCGCTTCAGACTGGATCCTGACCAAGTACCCCAAAGATGCTCCATCTGGTGAGCCCAGACTCCTCTGTTGTTCAATGGCCCTGGGCCAACAGCAGATCCAATACTCTCCACTCCAGCCGGATAGGATGACATCTGCCATGACCACAGTCCAGTGGAGGGAGAGAAATTACTTTCCATCCAGAAGATACAGAGATTGAAGCCAGAGGAGGGAGGACTTGACAAATCATCCCATGCAGATCTGTCTCTCTAAGGATGCAAGGGACTTGTCTCATTTGGAAAAGATTTCCTTCTGCAGAACCCCTTGTGTGGAACTGCACATAAGAGACCACAAGGGGATACCATGAGACCCAGGACCTGTATGCAGGACAGCAGAGAAGACCACCTGTGGGACAGCAACAACCGAATGGCAGTTCGGGGTGTTTTTTTTACTTTTTTTTCCTTTTGCTTAAACTAGATGGACTAGTGTCTTTTTTTCAGTCTCTCTAAATATATAAAAGTGTAGAAAGTGCTGCCTTGCCCAGATAGGAATATTTTAATACTGGTCCACGGTGTCTATGGAGGCCAGGAAATCGCCCTGATGAAGAGTAGCCACCACATAATGGAAAAATTCTTTTGTTTTGTACCTTCACAAAACAGTTCAGGACCTTGAGGTATAGGATCGGTCTGACCCCTTCCATCAAAACCATAAACAGGTTGGAGTAAAACTGGAACCAGGGCGATCACACCCTGATGGAGCAGATTCTGCACAGCCAGGTAAAGATTCCATGGATGAGATGGGGAGAGATGGAGATCGAAGAGGAAGAACTTGTCTGTTGGGCAGGAAAGAAACTTTATTTTGTAGCCCAAATTTAACAGTTTGCCAACCCATTTGTTGAAAAGCAGAGAAATCCACTGGTCTGAGAAGCAACTAAGACGATCTCCACCCTGGTGTAAGCAGTTGAGGGCAAACCTTCATGCTGTGGAAGTTTTGTCTACAGGCATATTGGACTTGTGTGGCCAAGAGTTCTTTGGGCCACCACTGAAAGCCTTGAATTACTTGAAACCAGTGTTCCCAACCTACCAGATTGAAATTCACTGACATGACACCCAAATTTTTCTGGCACAGCCAAGTTTTTACTGGCATTTCCAAAAGTTAAAAAATTACAGTTTTAAGTGCAATTTTCAGTATTTAGGCTACAAACAAGTACAACATGGAATTAGCAATGCATTGAGGTAGATATTAAGGCAAAAAACATTTTATTTTCCATATGTAATAAGTAGCTCAGGACAGGGCTCAGGAGGGCAAGAACCTAGAATGGGCAGGCACACATACGTGAAATTGACTCTCACAGTGACACTGACAGTGTGCAGCAGCACAGATGATGATGACACGTCTCAGACATGACACGTCCCCTCCTCCGTCACAGTGACAGTCTCTCTCCCTGCCTGGTGGTCCCTTCAGTCCACTTCAGTCCAAACTGCACTGACAGTCCCACTCCTGGATTGCCTTGCTCCCACCCCACAGACCTACACACGAGGGTCTGTCTGCTCCCTTGCACCATAACATCACACACAACACGCTCAAGGGTTGCCTCCGCCACCCGAACACACTGTAGTAGGCACTTGTTTGGTCTTGGCCAGCTCCAAACCGAAACTGCGTATGTGCATTTCTGAGCTGAGTGTCTTATCCATATTTTTAACTGGCAACCTTTTCCTGTTACTGCCAGGAGAAAAGTGCCCATTTTTTACTGGCTGCCAGTCAAATTACTGACTGTTGGCAACACTACTTGAAACACTTTTTCTTGAGGGGCCTGAGAAGCTAAAAAGCCGCTAGTGTGCAAAGAAAGACTGTACCTGCGTGCACTGCTGCTCCTTTCCTAAACTGAGGGAGAAAGGTGCTTTTCTTTTTCATTCATCATGGGACACAGAGCAGGCTATTCATGACTGGGTTATATGCCACCTATACGTGAATGGACAGCATTGGATTACATTTATTGCATGCATACCTGCATAATCATTTGAACTGTATATTTGCATAA